CCTCCACATCTGTCTTATTAGCGGATTAAGCTATAAGTTACTTTGAAAGGTAAGTTGTTCTAACGTTATTTTCATATGTAGAAAATTAATTATTAAATTTCAATTAAACAAAATACAAATACAAATGCAAACAAAATATCAAAATTTTACTACTGTTTCTAAAAGTCAGCTTAACATAACTTTAGCATTTCATTGCCACAAAATTATGTTGTAATAACAAATTACAAAATAATTCGGTTTAATCATCATTTGACATTTTGTTGCCATTTATGGACCGCCTTGTACCATAAATTTTGACCGCTGCAGAAACGTCAGCAATGGCTGAAATATAATTGCGTCAAATTTATTGCTTTGCAGAAATCTGTCACGTGCGGCGCTTGGGTCAAATTGAATTACATGTACCCTGACCTCAGAAATGGAGCAGTAGAGAAAATGACGACGACAATAGAAAATCGGCCACAATGAGGCAGTATAAATTGAAATAAATACACCAACAGAGATGCTGTTTATTAATAAATTATTGCGGCAAATATTTAAATGCGTGCCTTGAATAATTTCTTACAAAATTTGGCTATTTAAGAAAACATTAAAATTTTATATACCACAATTGATTTGGTAATTTATGATTTTGTAACATGCATAATATGAATTACATTGTTACAAACCACATTTACATATAGCACATAGCTAAGCATGTGAATTCCATTATCCTGCCAATACAAATAACATAAATCTTTTTTATTTCTATTTTCCCAAAGCTTAGAATTTAAATTGCTACAATTTAAGTAGCAAGAAAGTGCGGAAGATGCAAAAAGTATCAAATTTCCAATTTAGCAGGAAGAATTTTCAATAAAATATTTGCTTTGGACATTAAATTCTGTAACATAAAATAAAAGGAAACTCATATAGGAAGATGAAACATAAATTATTCCAATTTAGTTGGGACCACAATGTTTTATTTTTTTTTTTTGTGATTTTTTGGTGAAAACTCGCATGCCACTAAAGTCCCAAAATAATAACATTCGTCATGCTGGAGCACTTTAGTACCATTTACACATGTAAATTAGGCTTCCAGTGAGTTTGTTGCTCTTAAAGTTGGAATTGCTATTTTACTATTTAGGATTTTACATTTTCTTCTTCGCTTAGAATAAGATTTAATGAAATATTTTCTTTCTACTTAGATATGTAATCCTTGAACTTAGTTATGTTCATCAAGAGAATATGGTGCTTGCTTTTGGCAAGAATTTTAAGTTTTTCGGGCTCCTCTAGCTTCGTTAGTAGTTTGAGTAGAAAATTTAATGAACACGAGGGCTTCAAAGAAATTTTAGAAAATACAAGATTTTATTAAAATTAACGTCTTAAGCGTGGCGAATAATTTTTACAAACTTGCTATTATATTATTAATATGAATTTTGAAATTTATGATTTTTATACTTTTATTAAATCTCTTCTTATGAGTAGGTGATAATAAGACGTTAAAATAATATTACTATTTATAACTGCTCATATCGCACGTACATATCTGTATATACATTGTGACCGAAAAGTTTCCGGAAATTTTAAATAAAACGCAAAATTCTTAATCTTCATCAATATTTATT